TGAGGCAGTTCTGAAGGCAAAAGGGGGTCCAACCCGTTACTAGCATGGGGTACCTAATAAAGTGGCCGGTGAGTGTAAACAATCTAAGATTGGATTTATAGTACGACCTCAGGATTGCTTCAAAGTAGGACGACAAGGCTTTACTTTAAAAATTCAGATTTAACATGCTGCTATATCTAACTGTGCTTTGGTGCTCATGGTTTCTATGATTTTCTATTCAACTCGGCAGTTGAAATGTGGACAATCTAAGCTTTCTAAAGATGTATTACATGTCTATATATTACGTGTCTATATTGGTAAAAGTTTAACTGGTGTTATTCTCAAGCATACTGCTGTGTTTGATGTAAATAAAACAACACGCCGGTGACCCAGAGAAGTTAAGACATTAACAAAAAGCTTATGTTATGTGTTGTTAAAGCAGATAAAAGTAGCCCAAAAAGTATATTTTTGTGGTTGAGGAAATGGTAAAACTGTGAGCATGTCTGTAGATTACTCTATTTTCTAGCTGGAGTTGTAGAAGGTGGGTGTATATGTTAATGTGGGGGGTAACAGAAGCTTACAGAGTGTTTAGCATTTGTTTTTTGATAAGTGTTAGGTCCTTTTTTTCTCTACACAGTAGGAAGAGCTGGGAATGTTTTTTTTTATTTTAAAAGCATCTACTGATTTATATTCAAATAGTGCACATAGGGGGCAGAAAACAAAACAATAAATTTTCGTGGGGGGAGGGGACAGCTATGAAACAAATTTTAAAAATACAATTTACTTAGACCCAAAATATGAATGTACTTAGACCCGCTCTTCATTTGTATACATTGTACTTAGAAACTGCAACCTAATTTGGCCCCGCTTTGAGATGTACCGCTGTTTGCATTTCATCACTCAACTCAAATACTTTACAGAGCTGGCAGCAGCCCACACACACCATTTAAACAGACCAATCAGAACAGCCCTGGATTCAGTTTGAGCATCTTTTGTTTATTTACAGTGCAGGATTTGACCCTATAAGCACGTGGGCCACAGCTGTTGCAATCTTTAGAGGCACCCCTGAACCACGGATGATAGAAAACACACAAACTGCTGCTCAGTCAGGCAACCTGTCATGCATCTATAAAAAAGAAATGTTACTTATTAAATTTGTGCAATATGGCTGAAATGTATCAAGATAAAAGCCTTTTATATCAGTGGATATTAATAATTGTTGATTTGTTTTTTAAAATAAGAGCCAGGAGAAGAAGGCAGAATTTAAATGTCAAATTATTCAACATAACTTTATACTTTGAAAAGAGATCAGCCAACCTCACTTAGCTTGGTCCAGAGAGGTTAGGAGGCTAAATACTTTCTGAGTCCAAATTCCCTACATTCCTGCATGTTTCTTGATCAGGGTTTAGTGAAATGATCGGATGTTCTTATTTATTTTCTATCAATATTGATCAGGTTTCTACAGTCTTTGTTTTATTGCCTGGTACTACTTGAAGTAGTTGGCTATTTAAAAATTGCAAGTGTGGACAAATCGATTACATTTTTACATGACTTGAAGTTACTAATTCGGTTGGAGCCAGGAAAGAAAGAAAACAAATATCAGGAAATTATTTACTTGACCTTTCAGATCTGAAACTTCAGGTAATAACTCTGGAAAATGATTCAAAGGGTTATTTAGTTCAGGTAAAACAAACGCTTTTCAGCTGTACCCCTTCAAGAATCAATTCTGGATAAAATGAAGCCAATCACCTAAGCAAATGCAACGTTATGTCAATTTCCCTCTTCGCACAATTTGGCTCAGTATTGTGTTTCTCTTTTTCGTTTCAAACGTAAGGAGAAAATAAACATTTATCTGCAGTCTGCCAAGTGGAAATTTTATCCAGCACTGCACAATGAATTAAAAGGGGGTTGCAAGAAGTTCCTGGGTTTGATTACTGGCCTAGGGTCTTTCTGCGTGGGTCTTTTCCCCATGACCCTGAAGGATAAGTGGCAAAATATGGAGGAATTATAGAAAATACCTTTCTTGTAAGCGCAGCCCTGGCAGTAGTGAGATCCAGGCTGATGAACTGAGCTCTTGCAGATCCTGCAGATAGCAAAGCCCGTCTTGCTGTAAGGGTCAAACCTGAAAAAAAAAACAACAACAAAAAACAATCCAAACCCAAATGCAATAGTGTTTTGAAGGTTGAGATGCAGTAATTTTCATTTTTTAAAATCATTTATCTCGTTACACTAACCTGGCTTTTTTAGATGTCAGCATCTTGTTTTCATTTAACTTGCGCCCTCCACTTTCTAGATAAAAAAAAAAAACATGACAAAGAACAAGAGAGGGGCTCATTTGTAACAAATATCTAATGCTGCAGAATGTTGTCAGTGAATAAACTGCAAATCAGAGCTGGTTTAGTTAAATCAAAATAAACAAAACATATGATGCAAACACAGAGATTAAACTTTAAAGCTTTACATTTAAACTGCTCCACCTACCTCCCCCTAAACTCTAACCAGTCTCCTTATATAAAAGCAAAAGGTCTCACAGTATGATGGCATCACCGCTGTTTCTTAATCAGAATCTACAGACCTAAAGGGTAATTCTTATCTAAATAAAGATACTTTATACCTTAGTCAGTTAAATAACATGCTGCTGTCATTTTGCACATCTTTGATGTTGCTGCTATTTTCAAATTTCCATTATTGTACAAATGTCCATAGCTGTTTCATGGTTATTTATTCCCCAGGTGCACAATATTTATATTGTTAAAACACTATACAGTACAGTATTTTATTTTTTTTATCTTTTAATTCTTCATTATTATGATTTTAATTCATTTTTTCTATCATCTTTTTGCTGCTGTAAACAACAGAATTTCCCCATTGGGGGACAATAAAGGCAGTTTCTATTCTATTCTATTCTTGAGTCAACTTTACTGCTTCCAGTCATTTCAAGGTTGTGACAATTGAGAGGTATTTAAACAGCTTATTCTATCTAAATAACTCTTGTAAAATTCAGTTCATGCTCCTGTTGTGTTTTTCTTCTATTTACAGGAAAAATAAACTTTTTCTGTTATTATTTTTCCATGTTGAAGGTTCACCTGTTGTGTTCCGGGCTCCATCCTTCCAGGTGTCCGGAGTGATCACTCTGCCAAGCTTCTTCTCACCTGAAAACCCCGAAATATATCAAATAAAACGAAAGGAAGAGCAGTCAAAACGTCTCTAACAAAGAATAAAACTGAATATTAGCTTTACATAACGGGTCTCGGCCTTGACATAAGCTTCGTTGACAGAACTAACCATCGTTAGCATCAAATATATACAAGATCAAAAATAGATGAGTAAAAATAAACCTACATTTTTCACAAACCATGTCTCCGATTTATTAACTGTAAATACAGAAAGAAAACTCTTGGTAGCTTTTATCTTCCTCTGCTAACAAAAACTTCCGGTGCTGCGGTGACGCCACGGTCTTCTTCTTCGCCCTACATATTATGGTAGGTTCTTCTCTTTCTGAAGTTAATGGCGCTTGGCAACAATTTTAATGCGCATTACCACCACCTACCGGTATGAATTGTGAAACAAAATGACAGTATTCTAGCATATATATTTAACTGCTTAACTTTATATCATAATTTATTATTTTGGCAGTTTAGGATATTATTTTCTTTAATATCCTAAACTTGTTTTTTCTTCTTAATATAATAAACTAAATCCTCCTTCTGGCCCTTTTATTTATCAGTTGCATTACCTTTTCTAACCTATCCATATATTCATTAACTATAGGCCTACTATTAATTTACTATTAAAGAAGATTTTAACATCTTAACATTTTAAAACACTTTTCAACAGAGCAGATTATTAAAACAGGAACTAGTTATATTACTTACCCACTTACTGAAAAGGCTGAAGAGGTGCAATTCAAGATAATTAATGAAATATATCCATATAAAGAGTTTTTGACATCACTCTGAAACATTTTGCACAATTACATCATTTGGTTTAGAAAGCAAAGAGAATTTGCTTTCCATTTAGGAAACTTTCTTAGATTGATAGGAAAAATGTTATTCACAGATGTGGGTATTTTAAAACAATACCCACTTTTTGTCATTGGAAAAATGGTTTTGACTTATATTCTAGGTCTCTGAGACTGGTTAAAACTAAGCATGGATGAAATTATCAGCAATGTTGAAACAATTTGATTTAATTTGAGATTGCCCTTTGTTTTTATTGTTTTGAATCTTATTGTAGCGGGTGTTTTTTTTTTTACTCTGAAAACGTATCTTTATTGTCTCTTGTACCCTGTTTATGGTACATGTACCATTTTTGCTTTCCTTGTTTTGCACCTTGTAACGTTTACAATAGAAAAAATGTAAAACTTTAAAGATTCCAATTAAATTAGGATAACTTGAAGGGGAGACAGGAGAAATCAAAACAAGTTTGGCCACACAGGACTTATAAAATGACAAAGGAAGATGTCAACATTGTGCATAATTGGAAACAATAAAACATATTAGACCAGGGGTCTTCAACATTTTCCAGGCCAAAGTCCCACAAACTGATGGTGAGATGGAGCGGGGACCCCTAATTATATATATTGCATGAAATTGTGTTACATGAAACTGGTCCTATAGTCACTCTATTAAAAATGGGGTAATGTAAAGAAAGTGATTTCTCCCTGGGATAATTAAAGTATTTCTGATTCTGATTCCTGGTTGATGGGACAGGTGTTGTGAATGAAACAGTGCCCAGCTTTAAAGAGCTGTGTGTCGCTGAATCAGAATCAGAATCAGAATCAGAAATACTTTAATACTCCCAGAGGGAAACTCGCTCCAGTTACAGTTTTATAAATATATATATATATATATATATATATATATATATATATATATATAAAGTCATAATGTCAAGTAAAAAGAAAAATAAAGTAAAGTGATAATGACGTGCAAGAATAGTGCATAAATGTCAATTACAGAGGGGGGCTGTCTGAATCACTTGAGGGAGGCGTTATAGAGATTGATGATCACAGGTAGGAATGTGTGCATTGATGACTGAAAGACATCTTCTGCTTCCATTTATCTGTTTTCTTCAGTGTGTTGAATTCATTATAATGTGTATTTAAAGACATTTCAATTAGTGGAAAAAATTGCAGAGGGGAAATATATATATAAAAAAAGTCTAATCAACAAAAACTTTGGCAACCCCCATGCAGTAAGGACCTTCTAGGGGTCGCGGACCCCCTTTTGAACGCCTCCGTATTAGATTACAATGTGTGGGAATATGAAATAAAAAGAAGGAAAGAGATTATAGAAGAAAACATACAAGGAAAAATAAATATTATAAAAATGTTTGAAGTAAGATTCCAAAATTATTGATTACAGATTAAAAAAAAAATGATTAAATAAGTCATTCTACCGGTAGGGGGCGGTAATGCACATTTTTCTGTTTTCTTCCAACCGGGAAATAATCTGTACGAAGAAGGAGTCTCACTGTTTACGGAAACGCAGTGAGGAAATCCATTCATGGATTCGTCCAAATCCGATATTCTTTGACTTTTCAGCCTTTATATTTGATTTTCCTGAATCGTATCGCCTCCCTGCTGTAGAAATCCGTAGCTTTCATCATGTGGGACCATGAAATCAGAGCCATGGCGTCCACTCACGCCATCATCGCCGGCTCGGTGTTCATGGCCACCGTCCTCCCCACGGTGCTGGTCCCCGGCTTCTCGGTGTATGGGACCCACCTGCTGTGGCTCTACTCGGTGTCTGCAGCTGTGGCTGCTGTCAGCGGGACCGTGTTCTGGCTGCTCGGCGTCACTGCGCCCACAAAGAAGCACACACTGGGATACAAGGTAGCTGCCTGTGGCCCCAAGAGAGGAGGAAAAATGATAAATGTATAGTTAGTAGGTGCTCATGTATAGCTTCTTTCTTTATTTGTAACTGCATAGAAGTATTAGAAATATGTACAAATTAAAAGTCTATATATTTATATATACTGCTATAAGGGGCTCATAAATGTGAATTTAGAAGAAAAAAAACGAATTTAATGACAAATCTGAAAAGTGTGGCTTTTAGTTATAACCCTTCAATGTAGAAAAGGGCTCCCTAATTACAGGGCCTTCTCAAAATATTAGCATATAGTGATAAAGTTAAATATTTTCCATAATGTAATGATAAAACTTGAAGACTTGAATTTTAGATTAGTTGCACACTAACTGAAATATTTCAGGTCTTTTATTGTCTTAATACGGATGATTTTGGCATATAACATCATGAAAAGCCAAAATTCCTGTCTCACAAAATGAAAAAGGTCTCTAAACGAGCTATGCACCTAATCATCTGAATCAACACATTAACTATAAACACCTGCAAAAGATTCCTGAGGCCTTTAAAACTCCCTGCCTGGTTCATTACTCAAAACCCCAATCATAGAAAAAACCCAGAAGACAATCATTGCTCACCTTAAGCAAGAGGGTATGACACAGACAGATATTACAGATCCAATAGGCTGTTCCCAGAGTGCTGCATCAAGGCACCTCTGTGAGAAGGAAAATGTGGCAGAAAATGCTGCACAACGAGAAGAGGTGACCGGACCCTGAAGAAGGGCCGATTCCAGACCTTGGGGGACCTGCAGAAGCAGTGGACTGAGTCTGGAGTAGAAACCTCCAGAGCCACCGTGCACAGGTGTGTGCAGGAAATGGGCTACAGGTGCAGCATTCCCCAGGTCAAGCCACATTAGAACCAGAAACAGCAGCAGAGGCGCCTGACCTGGGCTACAGAGAAGCAGCACTGGGCTGTTGGTCAGTGGTCCAAAGTACTTTTTTTCAGATGAATATCGGTCTGTATATATGTGCTTAAACATGTTTAATGCATTATTAAAAAGTCTTAGAAGGTAAACAGAGGCTAGGTCTCCAAGAAACTTCACTAAATAGTTTTTACTACTCAAAACTTTTCTTTTAAGATAAAATCGACTCTTTTAGTCGCTGTATAAAAAAACACAGATGATGTGGAATTTATGGGATAAAAGCAGAAAAACATTCCTACAAAACAACAACATTTGAAAACTAACTTATTTTGCAAATCGATTAATCTGTGGATTATTTCTTTGATTCAGCGATTAATAATCAGATTCCCAAAGGTTTCTCAAAAAACATTTTTTTACAGAATTAAAACAGGTAAGTTTTAGATGAAGCATATTGACAAATGAAAAAAGAAAATGTAATCTTCAATGCAAAATGTTTCTATACCTTTTACAATTTTGGAATAATTAATCCTCTAAATGGGACGCCCTGCCAGCTAAAGACATGCTTTAGAGTATATACTCCAGTGGATGATTAATTGATTACTAGATTAGTTTAGTTATTTCAATAATCAATTAATTACCATTAAGCGTATATATATATATATATATATATACACACACAAACAATATGCTTTGCTATAAAAAAAGAATATGGCAAGTTACTTCCTGTAACATTAGTCAGTAAACTGTTTGCTGTATTTCCTTTTGACCTTAAAAATTAAACAGCAGGATCAGCAAATAAAAAATAGCATCAAAACAAAGAAACCGGATTACAAAACTGAACTGAAGTCTTACTTTGCCATAACTACAGGTGTTTGTGTCTCTCTGGTTGAATTTCTGTTTAAATCAAGCATTATCTTTATGGAGTGAAGTTACTTTTGATGGGTAGAGTAGCCAGACATTTTACCCAAGTAAGAGTAGTGCTACTTCATCATATTTTTACTCAAGTAAAAGTAAAAAGTATGATGCAGGAAAAACTACTTAAAGTACATTTTCTCTGAAAGTTACTCAAGTAAATGTTACAAGATACTACAGCTGACGATGTGCAGGGCTAGTTTTCCTTACAAATTGCATTTTGCATGTGAACTGTACGCAAGAAGATCACAAAAAGCTGTAATATGTTTGCTGGGTGGTAGTCTGCTATAAGGAACCGATAAAAGAAAACCTTTTTTAATGCAAATTGTAGGATTTATTTTAATCTGACCTTTCTGTATTTTCTTTTTGCAGCTGTCGAGGTTGTTCCGTTCATGTGTCTACTTCTTCCTGTCTTGCCTGTTCTTCCACACGGTTGTCGTTCTCTACGGAGCCCCGCTGATTGAGTGAGTAGATGGTGTCGGCTGTGAACTTGCATTACGGGAGCAACAGTGAAACAGGGCAGCGGAGGACGGTTGTGGCTCTCTGTTTCCATGCTGAGATTCAATCAAACCAATAAAACATTGATGCATTTCGGTTCCCATTAATATTTTTATTGCACCATATTGTTGTATAATGGCTGTCTCTCTCCTGCCTTTGCTGCCATATTGTGCATCTGACTGGATTTGTTTTTCCAGATCTGCTTTGGAGACCTTTTCGCTGGCTGTCCTTCTAAGCTCTCTGACCACACTGAGGTGTCTCTGTGTTCTCGGCCCCAACGTTCAAGCCTGGATACGAGTGTTCAGTCGACATGGGTGGGTTCTCAAACCTTTTTCTCTATTCTCTCTCTTTTAGATATCACCGTTACACAATTTTTTCCCTTTTTGTGTCTCTCTCCAGAGCTATGTCTGTTTGGGACACATGTTTACAGATAACAGTGGCCTGCACCCTAATTGGAGCCTGGGTGGGAGCTTTCCCAATCCCATTAGACTGGGACAGGCCATGGCAGGTCAGTGGAAAACAATTCAGACTATGCATTGTTATTGTGAGCTTCTAATATTTCTCTGATGTAAGTGCTATGGCTTTTTATAACCAAATCAAAAACAGTTTATGTCCATTTGATTCAAGAAGAATAATTAGGAAAAGAATAAACAAGGGTGAAACCCTCCTTTTTTGAAAAGGCTCAAGATTGTAAAGTTGTATCTTAATGAAACACAAAATTTTGCGCCTTTTAGGAAGACAAACCTTGAGTAGGGATATTTAATAACAAATTCAGAGCATCACCAATAGCTTCTGTTACAACCTACCAGTGACAATGGGGGCTTGTTGAACACATTAAGCTAAACATTGGACTGTATGCTGAAGTTATTCTGGCAACAAACCTGAACTCATCTGCGTCTCAGCAGAAGCGTGGTCCAATTGGTTTTTTTTTAACAATCCGTTTCTTTTTCAATAAAACTGCTTCATTAGTATGCGGAAGTCTGATAAAGATGCCTAAAGTGAATAAGAAGCAGCTAAAACAACATTCCAAAAAATGCTCAGCCAACAACCTACTGAACATGAATATTCAACTAAGCATCAATCAGAGAGGCAGCCAAGTTGCCTAATGCTACGTTCAGACCGCACAGTGCAGAAGCAGGTAGTTTACATGCAGAGTCAATGGTTGATGTGCATCAACAGGTCCTCTAGTACGTTCTGAGCAGCAGGCTGACAAGCTTCAGAAGCAGCAGCTGCTGGAGTTGGAAAAATTAGATTTTTGGTGCTCGATGCACATCAACCAATCAGAGAAGCTGATCTGGGAGCTGCCAGGGAGACAGACACAGCGCTACTGATGCAGATCGCTATGATCACTCCCCTGAAACAGTTTATAAACGCCTAAATTAACTTCAAATGTCAAAACCTGCCAGCAAAATAGGTTAGATTTTATTATTCTGGTGCCTGCAGTTTAGATTATGTACGTGAAAAAAGCCTTCCAGCTCGAACAGTAGCGAAAAACTGCGAAGAGGCAACTGGGTCAGAGGCTGCAGTTAAACGGGAGTTCCAGGGATGCCTCAGACCGCCAGTGTATGGGGGTCTGAGCAGCTCCGACAGCGAAATAATATCTGAAGGCAGGCCATATAACACAGGAGCAGCAGAAACATCAGACTGATCTGGACACACTTTACTGGACGTCTGACCTTAATGTGGACAAGCATCAAAAATTAAGCAGCAGAAGCTTTTTTGCCACTTCCAGTGCTTGCTTTTATCAAAATTAGCCAAGCGACTCCCATCAATTTCATCCGCCGTTGTTACAGGCAAAGAAAGGATAGGTTAGCTCCGCCCAACATGCATCAGACTCACTTTTCGACAGCGCAGCTAGAGAAGCAAAGATGCTTCAGCCATGTGCCAGAGCTAAACTTGTTCAAACATCAAAAAAGAAGCAGCAAGCGCATTTTTGCTGCTTCTGCTGCTTGCGTTCTGAACGTAGCATAATGCTACTTTGAATCAGGTATGAAAATCTGCTGACCGGACAACTAGTCAGATTCTTTCAAATGTAAAATTTCTGAAAAAAGTGTGAAAAAGAAAAGCATTGTTCTTTTTATAGCATTGAAACAGTCATGTAGTGCACGGTGGTCAAAGCCCCACCCTTCATGTGAAACATAATGCACCTTCCTGCAGCCTTAAACAGCGTTAAACATTCAGCCAGCGGCTGCAATAGAAAGAGTAGGATCAAAGCATGGTCATGTGTCAGAATGTTCTAGTCAAAGTGAAAAATTAAATCAGACTTATAGACCCTGCAGAAGGGAAAAATGCTGTCTGCAGACACACTCTATCCAATCTGACTGATCTAGAGCCAGTTATCTTCCACCATCCTTTCATCATAATGATCTACTTTGTCCCGCTCTGTCACACAAAACAAAGACTTAATATATATATATATAGCTGTACTGGGACAAAATTCAAAAAGTTAAAGGTATATATAAAAAGAAGCTCAAGGCTGCAAAGAGTATTTAAGAAATACAGATTAACAATAATAGAGAAATATGTGATATGATTAAAAACAGTTTAAGTGGGGGTTTGTCATTTAAATGTTTCTACTATATACATGCCATAGTTTCCTTTTATGTTCTAGTTTTTCTTCTTTAAAGGAATCTGCTAAACTGTTTCTGTTATTGCAGAAAAAAATACACAAAAGGGAAAAAAAAAGAAATATCTACTGTGATTCACTCTTGTTTCAACATGTTTCTAAGAACAACATCAGGGTGTTTCTAACACTTAAAGGTGAGGTTGAACAGTTCTCTGCCCATGTTCTGCAGGTTTGGCCTGTTTCCTGCAGTCTGGGCGCCATCATCGGCTACCTGACTGGACTTGTCGTTGCGCCCGCATGGATCCACTACCATCGCAAACAGCTCACGTACAAGTGCAAGTGATTGGAAAGAGCTGTGGCCGTCTGCCTGGCTTGATGCGAATGTGTCTGCTTGTTCGCTTTTTACCCGTTATTTATTGGGAACTTGGGAACCCTGTGAATGGTTTTTGTAACCACATGTTATTTTGTACATGTTCAAGATGAGCTTGGGGATTTTTGACATGAATAAAGATTGAATTGATTAAAACTATTTAGTGATTTATTGTAGGTATTGTAGTTTTTGTGCTCAAACTTAGGATTTGTGTTTGATGCAAAATCATGTAGTCACTCAGTTTTTTTTTATTTTTCTTACTGATTTCTACAGTTACATCTTAATAAATAGTCATGAAGTCAAATAAATAATTTAATAATAATTAATTAATTACTATTCATTCAAAAAGTAGAACCCATTAAGATCAGTCAATTGTTATGGTGGCATACAGCTAAAACGATACATAAGAACAATAAATATGCTGTTCATGAAGAAATGTTGGCCTATGTATAAGTATATCATTGTATTATGTGGAATAATTTCGCTGGAGCTCATATTACATGTATTACTGCTTCATTGCAGTCGGAGTATGAAGACAAAAACAGTAAACCACACAAAGTATTCATTAAAATAAAAACTTTATCCAGAAACATTGAAATTGCCTTTGGGGTCAAAAAGGTATTTCTGATTTTAAAGTTTTGTGGAAGAAAACCGTGTGGAAAAAGTTCACAATCAATAGTTGCAAATCTAGTTTTGAGATGATTGTAGAGCAGAGCGCTTTTTTGGGAATAAAAGATCTGAATGTGAATGGACTGCTCCGGCAGGCTGTACCTGAAAAACAAACAGACCTAGTCTAGGAAGAAAATAAGGAAAATAAGTTACTCGATTGGTTCAAGGTCCTCTGCACCATGTTTTATAATATGGTGCAAACGATCTAAATATGTCTGATTCAGACTTCTTTTTAATACATATTACATCAGTTTAAGACAAATATTCAATGTATGTGTGACACAGAAAAAATGATGCCATCCAATGTATTTTTTCCAGACAAATATTTTATATTTTTCAAAAAATACAGATTCAAACCAACAGCCTTATTTTCCTGACCTCATCTTTTAAAACTCATTTACCAGAAACTTTTATCTCGCTGTAAACAGGGAGATAAAAATTTTAAAACTCACCTGCTGCTCATGTTGAGTAAGCTTTGTAATGGTGGCTAGAAAATGTTACAGAGAACTTTGTAGGAGAAGGTCCTGGTGCTTCCTTAAGAAACTTGCATGTCCAGACGTTTTCTTACTATTAAAAAATCTCTTACCTCGAAGCTCAGACTGAGTTGAAATGGGATTCTTTCAAGTATGGCTTTTTTGTACATGTTTGAGCACAAATAAGGTGATTTTAGTTGGACTCTTTTTTTATCTTAACCATTTCTATGACTTCACTTAAATAACCTTAGCGCATTTTTAAATTTGCCAAATCTAACATATAGTAAAAATAAGATAAACAAACCTAATCTTTCTGCACAAAAGTTCAAAACAATTGGAAACTACCTGGGGTAAGACTGCAGGTGGTGCTGCTGGATCACAAGTTCCAGCCCCATTTATTGGCACTCATAGTAAAAGCATCATTAAAAATAATGAGTCTCAGATTACAGTAATAATCTCTCCTTAAAATAAAAACAAAAACATTACATTTCCTAATTCTGCAAACGGTATATTTGTCTGCTCTGTTTTTAAGACAGAACTACCTCAGTCTTCTTCTATAAAATTTGGTTATAGAGAGAGAGGGCTCTTAAGTGACGTTCCAACAGCTTGAGTAACCTGCTGATTCATATAATCTGTACTAGTACTCTGTTGAATTTATGTTATTCTACTATTTTAAAGAGCCTGGGCTGCTATTAACAGTCTTTATCTAATAATAGGTGTGAGAAGCTTCATTGTATTCCTTCATTATTTAACTAACAACCACATCTAAAAAGCTTTGTCATGTTGGCATAGAATATTTGACAAGACTTGACGACCCCGATGTGTCATTCTCCTACAGACCATTCACACTGAGCTTTTTTAAAGGTATTTCTTTTACTTTAACAACCTTTGTCATTGTTTTTATGGTAACAAGACAAATATTTAGCCTTATTTAGTGGCCGTGTATATATATATTATTTTTTGCTGTTTATTATTTCTTTTTTTCATGCTATGACTTGTTAAAGTTACTTACCAGGGTTGCCTATAACTGTCTTCAACCCTGCATGGGGAACAACTATTGATATATATATGTATATATATCTGGAACACCTACATTTTCCTTAAAGCGCCCCTCGGCTCACTTTAAACCCAGTGATCCCACCTGAAGCTGATGACTGATGAATTGTTCCCCTTTACAAAGAGCCATGAATCTCAGTCAAAATCTATCCCAGCATCCCCCCTCCTCCCCTCTCCCTCGACTCACATTCTCATTCCACCTTTTCCCAACCCCGGGTTGTATCGCATTGATTCACTTTCATTTCCCTCCTTTCAAGCCGCCCACACCTCTTGTTCTCCCTTGACTGAGCCGTCAGTCAAGAAGGAGCGTAAATTGTCTCGGCCTTGGTCTGAGGTTGTAAAGTAAATGACTTATGCTACATGGAGAGACTTGCACAAAGATTACAACCTAAGTAAATGTATCTAAAGGGGGGAGAAAATAGGATGCATTTTTTCTTAATTCTATTACAGTGTTCATTATTACAATTGGTGGATAGTCAATGTGGCAGAGCCGATGGGGTCTCAATTTGTCCAGTTCTTGAACTGTTACATAAGATTCTTTTCAGGGATTAACTTACCCAGAGGGAAATAAAAAATATTAAAGCATTATATCAAGAATCATACACATGCTTGCAACCCCAATCAACACCTTCCGTCTCTCCCTAATGTGTCATGACATTCAATCTGACCTCATGCTGCTAACTCCATTAGCCTTTAGCCTTCTTTTGTATTTTCCACCTCAGCTCCGATACGTCATCCCCTCTGGAGAGAAGAGGAGCCGCCAAAGTGAGACTCTTGTTGATACCGAGCTGGATTCACTCTGCCCTGAACCTAATCTCCCACTGATCCTCACCTCAAGCTGAGCAGCAGCATGAATGTATATTTTTAGGGAGAGCGAAGATGAGTCACGCTCCCTATATTTGATGATGTTTGTCAGTCTCTTGCATTTAATCGGTGCTCATTGTTTTCAGAAAAACCGGCTGTGGTTGCTTTGTTTCTGCGCTCAGCTCCTCTTAGAGTTGTTAGTCTTACAGAGAAGCACAAGGCCGCTCAAACACACACACACAAACGCAGAGGGAGAGAGCTGCTGTTTCACAAATTGCTCTCCTCTTTCAATTTCAGACAACTTTATTTATTCATTATTTGTTCTCAGCCTGTTCCATTGTAGCCTGGGCTTTGTGATGGCAGCCGATTTGTCACTCCCTTCCTCGCTGCTCCCCTCAGCCTTTTTTGCAAGGTGGTTGTTGAATTCATGTTTTCTTTAGAGGAGAGAAATAGAAACAACAGTCTCCTTCCTCTGTCACTGATTATGCATATAAACCGGTGCTTACACCATAAATGGTATTTGCCAAAATCGTTGACCCCTCTGCCTGCACACACGTAACATTGAGTGACATCTCATTCTTAATAATTTACAGTTTATTCTGATGTCAGTCCACCTTTCAGGAAAAGTTTTTTGGTTTTTGAGTCTGTCTAATATTTTGATAATTCTTTGAGATGACAGGTTTCCACTTGGATTAATCTCAAACGAGTTTAGGACACATAGAAGGCTACTTTAGGTTAGTGCAATGATTTCAAGCTTCCTAACCCTGGGCAGCTCATTTCTCTCACCTCCTGTTAATTATCTATGACTGCCTGTGGTTTATGTCCTGTTTTCCTTTTGGTTTTTATTATTATTCTTAGATCATTACTACATTTATCATCCCTACCTACATTTAGGGTCCTTCTCCATACATGTTAGATTCCATCCATCTATCTGCCCGTCCATCTTTTGCCACTTATCTCACACCTAAAGGCAATTTAGATATAGCAATCAGATTTTTTGCAGCTGTATAAATAGGGAGAACATGCAAACTCCATCCCGAAAGACCCTATGCCAGGAATCAAACCCAGGACCTTCTTGTTGCAACAAACTGTGCCACCCTTTAGCCTGTGTTAAATTGCAATTAGGTTTATTAATTTAATCTGCTTGAAAACCATCTCAAAGCCGTAACTATCCCTGTTGTTGACAATCTTAGGTCTAGTTTTGTTTTCATCTGCAAAGATCATAACCTGACAATAACACATTCAAATGCTCTGAGCAGCAGAAATTAGGGTTTTCAACACCATAATAGTTCCAGTAATCAAAATCAACAGGTTTAGTTCTTATGCACACTGTATGAATTTCATTTTTGATATTGAATTAAACTAAAATAATCATGATTAAGGCTGCTGGAGTCTATTGTTTTTTGTTGAATACTCCAGCTAGTGCTACCACTTACTGTGCCGAGCTGAGCCTGTCTAGTTATCTCCCCTTGTGCTCTCCAGGATAAAAGCCCCTTTGAGTCACAGCACTTGTTAGATGACCTGAAGCCTTTTTTTAATAATGCCAATATATTGAGCGGAAGACCCTGTTTTTGCCTTTTGAACCACAGCATCCTGACATCCCTGGATACTATAATGACTAAATCTCATTGGTTTTTTACTCCCACCTGACCTAGATTCGTTTCTCCTATTGCTGTATAGTGATAGATGTTTTAACTATTCCTGCATCTCCCCCTCCAGTGTTACCATCCTAACGACTCATCTGCTTTCCTGGTTGCTTTCTTTGAGTTTTTCCCTGTACATTCAGTGTAACCAGAACAGAAAAGCAGTTTCCAGGATACTTGGTTCAGAAATGCTCTACTTCTATTTTAAAATAAAAAAAAATCAGGAACTGACATTAAAAAGAGGTTTATTTTCAGTTTTCCATCCTGTCAACTTACATCCATCCTCCCTCCCTTCTTCTCACCAACACCCTCCCTCTTCCTCATATCCCACCTTTTTGCTGTCATTTGGCTTTCCCTCTACCCCATTCTTCCTGTGTTCACACACCCCTCCCTATGTGCCTCAATTAACAGCCTTAGTGCTGTGTTGAAAACATGTTGCAAGAAGGTCCATGTCTCTGTGAGAGGAGCCACAATGAGTCCCATTGTTGCTGAGGGATGTTCAAGTGGGCTGCAATGACGCAAAGGCTAGATGGCTGCATGAAGGAGCTCCTAAAGGATTCTCCCAATACAGAAAACATGTTCTGCATATTAATATAAGAATAAAGAGCTTCTTATTTACTTGGTGAAAATGTAAATTAGAAAAAATAATGTGTTGCTGCAAGATAATCACTGGTCCTAATCAGCTGTCTTTTTTATCAACTCCAGTTGCATCAAACTATTTAAATTTTTCCTTACTTTATGTTAAACCATTTTCTGACCCTTTTATGCACATGATGATTATTTAAAGGAAAAGTTCTGCTATTTACTTGTTTTAAAGCGTGCAAGG